CATCAATGATTTCATCAATAAACGGGAAATAGAGTAAAAAAGAATAATAATAATAATAATAATATTTTTATTAAAAAAAGTACAATATATTTACATGGCAATGCACATGCAGCCCACTACTTACCACAAATTTGGGTGTGGCCTTTTAAGAGAAAAAATATTCCACTTTTAAAATGTCTGGGGGGTAATAGGACCCCCGTGAAATGTAAGTGTGTAGTCAAAAATTGACTAATAGATTGAGGGTTCATTTGATCATTTTCTCATTGAAAATAAGTACTTAAAATGTTTTTTATTTTACCAAATCCTTGCTTTAAAATTATTTTGACTTAAACATACTTTAAATAAGTCAATTCAAACACTCTTATCTAGGATTTGTAAAATATAGACCCATTACTAGTAAAAAAGGGAAAAAATATTTTAAGTGAGGATTGTTTTTTTTTGTCCTCCAGATGTTTGGTACCCGCGTTTGAGCTCAACTAAATTTGGATTCACGTTGAGAAGTCCTACATTTGGGGGCAGGTGGGGGTAAAGTGCTCCCTAACAAAGACAACTCCGTAGAGACTCCAACCAAAGACATTTAGTTAAGGATTAAAGAATACTTACCACTCCACCACAATCCTTGTTGGTAGTGAGAAATGATTTCTAATCCTATAGATAAATAACTCAACATTCAATCAAGTGCACCATTCAACCTTTTTCTAAGATAAGTGTCAATAAATAATTGTCACGACCCAGAGGTACCCCCTAAATGTAACATGGCATACAAGACCCCGAGATGCCTCATATAAGTCACTTAGCTTTCATAGTTAAGATAATAGAAATACGATAAGAATTAAAACATTTTAAACAGTATCAAAGTTCATAAAACGAAGCGAAAGTCTCATACAACTTGTCTCAAAAACCATCTAGTACAATAGAATATTGGAACACAAACCATACAACAATATCCAAACCATAAAATGAAAGAACATAAGAGAAATGGTGGCCAAATCCTCGAATGCTATGAGGACTCACCAATCTTCAACCTTGCATCTACTATAGATCTTAGCCATAGGGATGAGAGTCGGGAACGCCGGACCCTACATTTGGTAAGAAATGTAGGCAAGAGTCTGTGTTAGTACAAGATTGTACCAAATATGATAACTTGCATAAACATCATCGTAAGCATAAGAGTTAGACAATATAAGTCATAAGCATAATCAATGCACATAGTATATCATATCTACATATAAGAAATACTTCTTAAAGTAACCTCAAAGCATACTTAGCCAAGACATGTGTAATCCTCCACTAGTCTTACTCATCATGGATGACAATCTCAAGCAACACTCGAAGCTCATCACCTATCATAACATTTTTAGCTTATCTTTTATAGACATGGGGAATCACCTCCTTGCCTTCCTATAAAGGCGCATGGGTAGTTGCCTTTTGCCTTTCTTATATGGTCATGGGTACTGCCTCCATTTCCATCATCATATGGGATCATGGGTACTCGCCTCCATGCCCAACATTATATGACACGGGTAATTGCCTCCATGTCCAATCATCATAATAGGAATGAGGGTAGTCGCTTCTTGTTCAACTTTAAGGAATAAGGGTAGTTTCCTCTTATCCTTCTCATTTAGAGGTCAAGGGTAATCGCCTCTAGCCTCATCAATTGCTTAGTCTTTTAGCCTAGATTCATTTTAGGTGAGAAATCCTTTCAACCTAGAATCATTCAATGTGAGAAAACCTTTCCCATTCATACATAAGCAAATCATATGGGAACTATCCCTTCCACAACAATCACATCAATAATCAACAATTCATCATATATTGCTTTACTCTCAAAGCAATCTATAACATAATCATCCTACATGCTTCAATCTCAAAGAAATTCATAATGTATCTCATTCATCCTACAATAATACATCTAACCCACAACTTCTCCTTTCATGGATCAAACCCACTTATATCAAATTCATCTTAGAAACATAGGTTAAACATGGATACATGTAAATTCATCCTAAAAATATGTAATCCTATCAATTCAATCATAAAAAATCATAACCCAATCAATTGAATCAACATTCATCAAGACCCACAACACTAGAAGAAAATCCTAACTCAAATTGGGAAATTTCTACTTTTCAATTGGGGAATCTTGGGGGCTCTATGGATGAATAAAACTATCATACCTTGATATCAAAGCCCACAAGAAATTGGAGAATGGAGACTTGACCTTGAGCCCTAGCTTCACCTTCTTCTTCAACTTCTAGAGAGAGAAATATTTGGAGATGAAGAAGTTTGGGTTTCTTTTGGTGAATTTGAGATAATGAATTGAATGAACTAATTTAGGGGTTAAAATAACTTATATAGTGGTCTTAGACATAGACAAAACAATGTAGTATCAATATAAAATAATTAGGAAAAGACCCAACTGCCCCTAACTATAATTGTCGACTGTTGACCCACAACCCTACTCGACGGACCATGATCTGACTTACGGTCCGTCATTTGGGGTTAGGAAGATTGAATTTGGGGTCTTGGACCACGTACCTTGGACCACAGACCGTGGTCTGACCGACAGCCCGTTGGTCAGGCCATGGTTCCTAGACCTTTGGACAATTTTGGGTGCTAGTCCACGGACCCCCACCTACGGTCCATGGTCCTACCCATGGGCCATGGTTGACCCTCGTGGCTTGCACCTGCAACTTCTAAATTTTTGCTATATTGCCCTCTTTCGAATTCGGGGTGTTACAATAATATTAAACTAATTTTATAAAATATATACATAAAATACTTAATTTTATAATATGATCATGAATTCACATACCCCAATTTTAGTAGACGTTGGGACATTCGATATGAAATTGCAATGTGAAATTATGAGATGAAATCCGTGTTTGGACATGTGATTTAACACTGATTTCATATCATGAGATGAAATCTCAAATCTCCATAATAATTATGATTTGGAAATTTCAAATCATGATTTGAGATTTTTCAAATACAAAAATTAACCCACAAGTTTATATTTTATAAAAACAACCCCACATATATATCTACTAACCATTTATTTCATTTGTAAATCAAATTTATAATTCATATCATTACTTTTTAAACCATTTATATCTCATATAATGATTATTCTCATAAATATAAAATATATTATTACTTCAAATCAATTTCTACTTTACCATTTTTATTCACTAAATTCATTATTTTTTTTTATCAAATATATTTTCCATCAAAATTGACCAACCAATGACTAAAATTAACAATGTTGGTTCGTCTTCTCAATCATATGAACAAGAAATGTAAGTTCAACGTGAGAAGATTGTTCGTACTATGTGAGTAAATTATATTAAAGACTAGCACGCTACAATTTATGTTTAATTTAATTTGTTTATTGAATTAAAGCTTGATCAATAAATAATGTATATCTTAAGAATATCTTTGTGATAGTGTATTATGTGATTTTATAAACTTGTATTTGCTAAGGTTGTATAAAAAATTGAGATAATTTTATAACTTATGAGGTTTTTATGTTTATGAGAAAACATACAACAAAAAAAATTCAAATTGCATGTCCAAACAAAACTTCAACTTCATCTCATAATTTTATCTCAGGATTACATATCATAATTTCATATCGCATGACCGAACGAGCCCTTACTACATAAATTCGCCCCTGCCACTAAATAATTTTCTTTTAATTCAAATTGCAAAAAGAGACATATTTGACACCACACACATTATTTGAAGAATCTTAGTTTTCTTTGAAGGGAAAATGTTAAAAAATGCCCTCAAACCTCCATTTATAGTTTGGTTTCAAAAATGTCCTCGAGTCAATACTTTAGTTTAAAAATGCTATTGTATTAAATACTTTAGTCCAAAAATGTCCTTATTGTTATTTAATGACAAAAATACTCATTTTTCAAATAAATATATTTATTTATTCTTTTAACACATTATTTTTCTAATAATATCTTTCAATTTTAAGAAATGTTTATCCTACTTCAATTCAGAAAAAAATAATAAATAAAAAAATTCTTATTTTATTATAATTATTTTTTATCGTTATATAAATAAAAATTAATGACGGATATACTATTATTTTATAAATATGACATATATTATTCGTTGAAAGCGTACATGAAGTTATTCTATTTTAATTGATAAAATGAGATTAAGAAGAAAAAAATTATTTCCTATAATTTTATTTGTTAAAGTGATTTTTAAAAGAAAGAAAACTAGAATAGGGTTCTTAAATAATATTTTAATTAGAAAGAAGATGTATTTAAAAAGAAAAGAAATAGTACATTTATTCGAAAAAGGGCATTTTTAACTCATTTAGCAACTATAGGGGTATTTCTGAACCAAAGTATTAACTACAAAAATATTTTTGAACCAAAATATTAACACAAATACATTTTTAGCCAAACTATAAACGAAAGACATTTTGATCCATTTTCTCTTCTTTTAATTCAATTTGCACAAAAAAGACACATTATACACCAAACCCATTGTTTGAAGAATCTTCTTTCTTGAATAAAAAAAGGAATCTTTTTAATGTCACAATCACTTTTTTTTTGGTTCTTTCTGCAGATTCCTTGTCATTTTTGTAGGGCCATATATGGACAGTTGGACACCATTCAGTTTTGGTGAAAGATGTGCTCCATAAAATAATAACAATAAATACTCCCTCTATTTCAATTTACATGATACATTTTGTTTTTCAAGTGTTAAATAATTTAAGTTTGATCGAAAATTTTCTCATGAAATATTCAAATTTTAAAAAATGAAATTTATATATTTGTAATTACATAAAAAGTATAAGTCTCAAATCTCAATAATTGATAATTCAAAATATTTAAAAAATATAAAAAAATTTAGATCAACTAATTTGAATCTCAAAATCTAAATAAAATATGTCATATAAATTGAAAAAGAAAGCAAGTAATAAAAAAAATATAAAGTAGAGACGCGGCAGTGCTTTTTTTCTAATAGGCTTTTTAAAACACTGTATATTAATGTTTGCTTGTGTTTGTGAGAGAGAAGAAGAGGTTAGTGATGGATCTGAAAGGTACGCCGGTTGAAAATGAATACCGTATGCCTGCTGAATGGGAACCCCACTCTTGTTGTTGGATGGGTTGGCCGGTGAGAATTCTATATTCCTTCAACTCGCCAATTGTTTCACTGAGATTTATTCTTCTTGCATAATTTAATTTTTGGTTCTGGTTTTGGTTCTTTCGTTTTAGGGTTAGTTAGTTAGCTCTGTATCTGTGGTGTCTGTGTGGATTTAAGGATGATCGCTAATCATGGAGGTTTTATCTGAAAAGTTTTGTTTTGGATGGTTGCAACAAATCCTACTAGAAATGATCCAATGTTTTTTGTGGTTACCCTTGGCTGCTCCTACTCTACCCTTTTAGTTCTGTTGTAGGAGAATTTGATGAATTTCAATAGGAAGTTCATATTTGACTTGAAATCCCGAAAATTATTTCTGAAACTTCTGAAAGTTTGTGCATGAATTATAGGACTGATTTGCAAAGTTTGGTGTATTTTTGCTAAGGTGAGATTAGACTTTTATTGCTGAATATGATATAATTGTTTACCGAGCAGAAATGATATTTGACTGGGCAAATGAGTATGGAGTTGAGTTTCGATTGAACGAGCAGTTCCGTATCATTATTTAAGACATTTTTGAAAAAAAATGGGTCATTTCGCTATCGTATAAGGAAGTTACGACTCTTTTAGAGAAAATTAAAGTTGCTGGTTTCTGGTGTAAATACTCACTCGGGTTTAGCAGAAACCTCTGTTTCCATCTTGGACCATAATAGTAATACTAGTAACCGTAAAATTGATAATTAAAATAAAATAATGCATGTAAATATATATAATCTCACCCCACAGATTCTAATCGTTAGATAATTGATAAGTGAGAATGCAGCTATGCTTATCAAATATAGCATGTAATTCAGTAACATGCCAATATGTAGCTGCAAAATTAAGCATTGTGCCAATCAGGATGAATGGAATTGGTGCAACTTGTTGTTTAGTGAGTTTGCATATTATTCAGGAATGTGATTCATTGCACTTCTTGTTTAAGAGCGAATTGTCATACTTGTATTTTAAAGCTGCTCTGATGCCAGTGAGAAGGAACTTGACTCATCAGCAAACACGAACTCAGTTCCTGGTTCTCTCCTTTCTTATTATCGGTGAAAGTTATCTTTAGTTCCCTTTTGTATCATAAGTGTCAGAAGTCTCTGTTTGAAATTTTGTATTGGAGTTCCATCTTAGTAGAGTATGAACAGAGGTGGATGTATAGTATATTATACGGGTTTGGCTAAACCCAGTAGCTCCACACCTTGTATATGTGTTGGGAAATCCGCTAAATATGTACATGTATAAACTGCCAACCCAGTTGCATAAATTAGTTGTGGGTTCGATGGCAAACTAGAGTTGGTAGAACCCATAAACTTCAAATTTTAAATCTACCTCTGTGTACGGCTGGTAGAGTAGATTTCGCAATGTGAACAATCTCTTTGTTTAAACTGAAGATTTCACATTTATTAATGACATTTTATGATACCATTTGTATGGTTGACATTTTGTTATGACTTTATATTTTCTTAAAAGGCTATGTATCTTCATCCCTGGTCAATTAGTACTATATCCCAATTTTATTTCTTTTTCCTTCCCTTTCTTTTTGGCTCAACTTTCTGTGCAGCAGGATATTCTGGTAGTAATTGCTTAAAAAGAACCAGAGAAAAGTTTGGGTGTCTATTTGCTGATAGCTTTATTATTGAGATGTAGGAGCGTCCAGATAACTGGCGAAATAATGGAGTCCACGGTCAGCGTGTATTTGCAACTGTAGCATCTGCTATTTCAAGATTTGAACCAGTAACAGTCTGCGCTAGTGCTGCTCAGGTTGACAGTTTTTTGAAGGCATCCAAAAAGTTTTCTTCTCACATCATGTTAGTTTCTCTTTATTCCCTAGCATGTGGTTCTAACACACATCTATGTTGTACAGTGGGAAAATGCATGCAACTTGTTGCCTAAACATATCAGGGTTGTGGAGATGAGCATCAATGATTCTTGGTTTCGTGATACTGGTCCAACTGTGAGCTACTGTTTCCTTTCTGTGGAATTCAAATGGTATTTACTTTTAACCGTCACACCGCAGAGGAAGTTACAATTTTTATTTTTTTTTATCTTTATCTATGCAGTTTGTCATCAGAAATACCACAGCAAATGCAGAACATGCAGTGTCAAGTGTTGCAGGGATTGATTGGACCTTCAATAGCTGGGGTGGTAAGAGATTTGGATCCCACTCTTGATATCTATGAGGAACATCTATGCTGTTTTTCTTTTTTCTCGCAAAAGCTGTCAACTGGTGTCTCCTGTTCCAGGAGTTTTCACCTGTTACCTACAAAATGCAATCCGATTTCCATTAATTTTAAGGTTTTGTTTTTCCTTTGGAGGCTTAATAAATATACTCAGTCTCTGTTAGACCTGCTGTAACTAAGGTCTATAAACGCAGGAAGAAGGGTGGAAAGAAGGCCTAAGTATTACTGCTTTATTTAGTTATTACTATGTATATGTATTTTTAGCAGTTACTTAGCAGTTACATAGAAGTCAATATGGTTATTAAGGAAGACAGGCAGTTTATTCTGGAGGATATTGGTTCAGTAGTTAAACTGGAGGGTAAGGTTACTCGAAATACCTTGGTTGTTGGGTGAATTATCATTCACAGATCTTGTTTGTGTATTTGTAAATTTGTTCTATTAGTTGGTGGAAATATATAACAGTGTAGTGTGTTGTTATCTTTGTGTTGTACTTGGAAATTTACAGCATAAGGTTGGAGACTTTTTGGGTTCCTAACAGTCTCAAATCTGCAATTTACGGAACTAAAGGTTCAAACTTATGATTATCTTGTTTGTAGCAAACTATTAGTCCTCCATAGATTGATCTTTAAGCTATATGCTCTGGAGTCAGAAATGTGAGTTTTTATTGTCAAGGGAAAATTCTCATCTATCCCACTAAAGAAATCCTTTTTCCCCAAATGTCAATCATCAGATAATTTAGCTAATAGCCAATCTGACATGATGGTACTTTATGTTGACTTGTTCCTTCTCAAATGCTCGAGGCTTTCTTAGCATTCAGCTCCAGCATATGACACGATTATTCTCCCGCTTGTCATATCATATGGAATCCATAGAAATACAGTTTGATGATATGTTGAAGGACTCGGGATATTTATCTTCTGTGTTTAGTATTCTGCTTTGATTGCCTAGAACTTCCACAAAGAGAAACATACTTTAGTGTGTTTGGTTAAATCACATGTGTGCTTTGTTCTGTGACTTCTGTCTTGCCATAGTAATATTGTCTCAAAACCATATTCAGTAATATATGGTTGTCCTTGGATTTGATGCAAGATACGTTTGGTTTCTTTCGCTCTGGCAAAACACATTCATGATGGTGATATTTGAAATATATAGGTGTTGATGAGGGTTGTTACAAAGACTGGAATCTTGACCTTCTTGTTGCAAGAAAGGTCTGCAAATGTGTCTTGTTGATAGTACATTATTGGTCATTAGATACACCTCCATTGAGTTAACCATTCTGTTCTTTTGCTTAGATTTTGGCAATTGAAAAGCTCCCAAGGTTTCCGCAGTCTATGATTCTTGAAGGTGGAAGCATTCATGTTGATGGAGAAGGTAGATACATTTTATTTATTTTCTGAACTCGACTTGAATACCTTATAGTTTGAAAACGAGTCTCTTCTCCATTTCAGAGAGTTGATTTCGGTAGCTGTGATCTATTTATGAAACTACAGTCATAGACAAACTCCCGATCATCTGCCTGTAAGATATTAAGCAAGTAAAGTATTGAAGCCAAAAACCACGTCATAGCTTCTCCGTTACAAAACTTAATTATTAATTCTTGAACTATGACATCTTAAATTTTATTGCTAGTAATATAAGGTACTGAATGTGCCAACATATTGAAGTTTAGAATGCTGAAAAAAAGAGTTGAAGGTTCTGCTGGTAATTTACTTTCATCTACTTAGGCGTTTATCAGTTCCATGGGGTGTCTTTATCTGTTTTCCTTGAATCTCATATTGTATGTATTCTGAATTCATATAGCGATCTAGTGATTGTTGTTTGGATGCAAAGAACATGCTATCTTATCCTCTTTTATCCTCTCTTCAGGGACTTGTCTCGCAACAGAAGAGTGTCTCCTGAACAAAAACAGGAATCCCCATTTGTCTAAGGAACAGATTGAGAATGAACTAAAAGCATATCTTGGAGTCAGGAAGATTATTTGGCTGCCTCGAGGGTTGCTTGGTATTCATTGTGCTCATGAACTTATATTTTCCTGTGCACATAGTTAATATTAGTCAAATTGTGTCCTTGACCTGCAAAATTCCATGCTTTCATGTGGTAGTGTTGGATTTAACAAAGTTCAATCCTTGGTTGTGTCATTAGTATGATGTGCATCCATTCTCATTTTTGAATAAGACAACAGCCGTGAGAATCTTGAAATTTCCTACACCAATACAATGTGTGACATCATCGATCGCCCCTATCCTTGGTAATAGATCCAAGATACTTAAAACTTCATCTCTTTTGGATTGTCGGGATATCAAGCCTCATTTCCATGCTAGGTTCATGCGATTCATCACTGAACTTGCACGCCAAATATTCTGTCTTGGTCTTGCTCAACTTGAATCCCTTAAACTCCAGAGTCCGTCTCCAAACTTCCAACTTAGCGTTAGCTTCTATGTTGCTCGGACTCTTCACAAATGTCAAGGGGTGCGTGTTGGATTTGCCAAAAGTAGTGTATTTTTGGAGAATCCGACACGGGTGCAGCATCAAAAGTGAAGAGTCCGCGCAACTTAGTTAACTTTGCCACGAGTCTCATCAATCGGAACTATATCCTCCGCAAATAACATACATTATGGCACCGCACATTGGATTTGCCGCGTCAATTCATCCATTAACAAGCAAATAAAAATGGGCTAAGAGTTCATCACTGGTGCAACCCCATCACAACTAGGAAGTGCTCTGCGTGTCTGCCTGTCCTTACCTGGGTCTTGACTCCATCGTACATGTCCTTAATCGTCCTAGTGTACACCACATGTACACCTCTAGCCTCCGGGCATCTCCAAAGAACCTCCCTGGAAATGTTAAAGTACAAAATTAGCTAACTTAATGGTATTGACCTTTAAGTCTGAGCCAATTATAAGGATTTCATTACAAAGAAATCTTTAAAACTTGATATATCTATGTTGTTTTCATATTTGCGAAGAAGAAATTAGTTGAAGGAAAGATGAGAAGAGAATTGAATACTGAGTCGATAATAACGTTATTGCAGGATCAAAATGCCCTTTAATAATCTAAAATACTTGATATTTTAATGACAACGCGGAATCACATTCAATTTTTTTCTCTAAAGAACAATCCAAAGGAACCTACATAAAAGAATATTAATTTTAATAATCGGAATAAAGTTGGTATATTGAAATTTTGTTAGTTACTTGGAGGTTATTAACCTATAAAAAATTTCTTATTAGAGAGTTTAAGTCTCGTATTCAAATAACGTATTAGGATGTTAACTGTTCAATGAGTTCACGGTTTTATTGTTTATCTTTCAAAATTTATGCACTGATGTTTCCCTTTCTTTTTCTATTTTTTTCCAAAATAATCATAGAGAAGTGAATAGTTAGGTTTTAGTTTACTGTTGACGTTGCAGGTGATGAGGATACAAATGGTCATATCGACAACATGTGCTGTTTTGTGAAACCTGGTGTTGTTTTGTTGTCTTGGACTGATGATCTATCTGATGAACAATATGAAAGATCCTTTGAAGCACTCTCTATTCTTGAAAATACTTCTGATGCCAGTGGTAGAAAAATACAAGTGATCAAACTCCATGTACCTGGGCCACTCTATATGACAGATGAGGAAGCAGCTGGAATAGTTCAGGTAATGTTTTTGGTACCTTTTTGGTAATATTCTACAATTGTCATTCATAAAATAAAAAGAAAAAAGATAAATTGCAGAGCTGTCTAAAAATATCAATGACTCTCAAGTCAATGTTTGGTAGAATTTGTTAATATGATATAGAAATGATGATTTAATTCTCTTTTCTTTTTCTATTTATATGCAACACATTCATGGGTAGGATGGTTTTCATCAGTTGAAATTTTGGATCAAAGATCACTAAATATGGATTACATTTGTTTTTTCTATGACGCTGTCTTCCTTTCTGTTGATTACACTGGGTATGTCGTTGTCGTCGTCTTCCTCTCTGTTGAAATGTAACTTTCCTTTTGCTCACAGAACAGTAATCATAAATCTTTGTGTATAAATTAATTGAAACAACTATCCTTTTACATCACTGCATCGACTCAAAAGACGAAATCCCTAGAGAAATTGTGTGGCCTTTTAATTCCAAGCTTTTGACAGACTTCTTGGTCATGTTCTGTGAAAAGACAGAATGTAACTTGACCTTCTGTAACGACTGCTTGAATGAAATATCCATGATTCAGGGGATGCACACCTATGTCTTTCTGAAAAACATGATCCTTCGAAACTAAATTATATCTTGAGGAACATTATATTAGTGACGTTATAGATCTCATGCAATAGTAATCTTTCCAAACTCCAAAGTCCCCCAAGCACTTTTCTAGCTTCACCATTCTACTTTCTTGAGAAACTACTATCTGTAAGTAGAAAATCAAGCATCTTTCTCGGTTCTTTTTTGGGAGTCTATCATTCTGATCTCATCCTACTATTGTCTTTTACAGGATGGTAAAGCTAAACCTAGGCCGTCAGGTACAAGGCTTGCTGCTTCTTATGTAAACTTCTACATTGCTAATGGTGCAATTATTACTCCGCAATTTGGGGATAAAAAATGGGATGAAGAAGCTATTAGAGTCCTCTCACTGGCATTTCCAAATCATGAGGTAAGCAAGGAACTTGATCTGGTTGCTATTTGCAAGAGTCAGTAGTTATTGAACATAATGGAAAGACCAGTATAAAAAAGTTACCAGGCAACCCTTTGCAGTAAATATTGCTTTTCATGACCTAGAATGATAGAAGACGATAATAATAAAGTCATGAGAAAGATTCCTTCAAGAAACTCGGATGTTAGACAGAAGAATCCATTGATATAAGAAAGGAACAAACAAGACCAAGCATATGATTATAAATGATGACTATTGATGTGCTCATGCATCCACATAGTTAGTAATCGTTAAACCTACTCCTCGTACATGCACATAGTTCCAATATCATTTAGTACCCACTGATTTGGCATTGTAATTGAGAGATGCTAAATATGTGAACTTTTTTCTTAACCACTATGGTCATGAAATATTCGATGAAATGACTTGATCAATTGCAGTCTGATACTGTGATGGAAAGAAAAATTCATGCTTTAACTCATTCTTGCACCCAATATTTCGTCACGCTTGAGTTATAAAATCTGAATTTTTCCTCCAGAACTCAATTTTGAATATATGATTGGTGCAGGTTGTAGGAATTGAAGGTGCTAGGGAAATTGTACTGGCAGGTGGAAATATACATTGTATCACACAGCAGCAGCCAACCGGCCCAGAATAATCACCCAAGATTATAAATGATTCCATATCTTAGCAGATGGATAATAAGATTTGGCATTTGCAAGTGATAACATGGGAATTCTTCGCGATCACATGTTCAAGATGAGCTTTAGTTTCTGTATTTGTTTGTTCTTTCGAGATTCTGGAGTGCAAAAATAATGTCTGGATCCAGGTCAAAGTACGATTTTTTTTAAAGCCTTGGATTTTCAATAGTAACTGTTTTTTTGGATATTATACTGAAATCTAGAATGCATACTGCCTCTTGCTTGCTTTTTGAGTCGAAGATTGATGCCTACATATACAACACCAGAAGCTAAATATTTCTAGTACAATTACTTTGTCTATTAGCCAAGTCTAATCCTACTTACAACCCCAACTTTTGATACAAGGATGTAAGCATGAGATTTTTACTTGAACCTAAATCACATAACCCACGAGATGAACACTTGGCCAAATTGTAATTTACACCATGAAATTACCCGGATCTTTCAACTTGCTGGGCAACCTATTCTATATTCTGGAACAGCACTCTTCAGTAAGTGCTACCGTCTCATACTCAGTCAACCTCCTCTTATTTGTCACCATCTCCTATGCATATTTAGGGATTCCCTGCAAAATATCAACCAGAGGTAGATTAACGTTGTAACATCTCGCAACTAGAAAGAATTAGAAGGAAGTTTAAAATTTGGAAATAGTTACTTTTGGAAAGAATGAGGAAATCTGAAAATTTTTAAGTTAAAGTGAGTTTTTGGTCAACTTCAAACGGCTATAATTCCTAGCTCAGGATGATTTAGGTGTGATTCCAGATATGGTTGGAAAGACCTTGGAATGATCTTTCCAACGCCGCCAAGTTTGCGCGATTCCGAGTTTGTATGAGTAAGTTATTCCCTTTGGAAGTAGGGATGTTGGATTAAGGAAATGTCCAATCCGGAATTTTAAGGGGTATTTTAGTCTTTTCATTGCCCTATTATTTTAATCCATTTTTAGGAGTTTAATATGGGTCAAATCAGATTTTAGTCAGTTTTAGAATTTGGAATTTCACGCTAGGGATAAGGAGAAAGGAGAAGGGAAAAGAAGAAGGAGAAAAAGAGTAAATTCATCAAGATCGATCAAGAAAGTTGGTGTTTCGCCAATGATCTACTTCTATCAGGTATGTGAGGCTCTCATAACATTGGGATCGTTCTCCCACGTGCCAAGCATATTAATTTCAGTTTGGATTCGTCCTAAAAGCATTTGAATATTGATGATCTTGATATCTATCTTGAATGCATATATTGTTCTTGAATTTGACTGAGTTGGGAAGTTTCTGAGTTCGTTACGTCGCATCATAGTCGTTTCGAGTTAGGTTCTTAGGTACATTTGTTGGGTATCTGTATCTAAAAGTAATTTGGGAAAAAGAACCGAGTTTGGGTGAATTGGGGTTGAAAAACGAAGAAGAAATTTTGTAGGACGAAATTAGAGGGTGGTCGCGCGTCGCGCACCTAGGGCCCAATTTTGAAAACTTCTACTCAGCGTCGTGGAGATGACACGAGGTATTCTACCTCAAAAGACGTTTTCGAAACCAAAATTTATTATGCCTCCGTGTCGCGGATCCACCTTTAAATCTTGATTTTCGATCTTTTCTCATGTTTAGCTATCTAAAATCATTCCTAAATGACATGAGATCTTTCCAAACACCAACCCTAATCCTTGAATCCATAATTCAATTCAAGGATCAGCTAAGAGTCACGTCAAGAACAGTTAAGATCAAAGTCAAGAGAAGTCAAGAGTCTACTAAGAGAAGTTCATTTCAAGTTTTCATAAGTCTTTTACAAAAGTTTTAACTTTGTTTTAAGCCTTAAGTTTTGAGTTCAGTAAAGAGTAAAATTGAAGTTCTTTTCTTCAAAGAACTATATGGGGACTATGTATTCCCAAAGAGATTTAAAAATGTTTTCACATTTAAATAAGAACGGAAATTGAGATTTCCAAAGAGCCTTCGGGCTAGTGTTCAGCAAAGAGTAATAGCTTTCTAAATGAAGTAGGGAAACTGAGATTTCCAAGATAGCCTTTGAGCTAAGTTTTGAGCACTATTCTCAAATCACAGAAAGAAGTATGTTTTTAAAACATAAAGAGCTAGTATATTTTGGAAGTAGTATTGAGCACCGATATGGGGGAGAGTTTAGACAACTCACAACCCATATAAACCATGTAGCCATCATGGGTAGAAAAGAGTCATACTTTTTAGATGAATCCTTTTCACATAGACTAGTGGATCCACTTAGTAGTTCAGGTCTTATACATGTGGCAAGGTATAGGATGCACTGGCAGCGTGAGGAAGATTACTGTATCATTACTATAGCTCTTAAGTGATGATTGTTGGTTAGAGAAACTCCCACGGAAGTTATTGTATTTTTATATACATCACTTTATTGTATTTTTACATACATTTCAGAGTTATGTTGTATCCTTGTATATACACAGAGTTGACATCATGTTTTTAAACACCTTTTCTTTATATTGCACTTGTTTTAAACTGCTTTATATTGAAATGAGTTCAGTTAAGTATTCATGAGTTGAGAAGAGTCAAGGTAAGTGTTTCTTTCAGATTCCCTTTCAAGCCTATGTTGTTTTAACATTCCAACTTGCATACTCGTACATTCAATGTACTGATGCCAGTTGGCCTTCATCGTCTTATGATGCAGACACATGTAACTAGGATCGGCATTCCAGTGCACCGTTGATCCAATGATCAGTTTAGAGTCAGTTAGTGAGCCTCATTGCATTCCGGAGGATCTATTTTCATTCCTTTCTAGTTAGCTCATTAGGATGTTATGGGGTTGTCCTAACATCCATCTCAGTTGTTTTAGAGGCTTCATAGATAGTCAGATGTTAGTCCTTTGAGTCTTTTCATTATCATTTCTTATTGTTAAGACTTGCGTTGCCACTTTTCGGCCAAGTTGAATGTTTAACCTTTAAACATTCTCAGTCATCTTATTATTCAGTTCAGTTAAGTGTTATTGGTCATTAAGTATGAATATTGTCTTCCATTGAGTTAATTAAGCCAGGCCAAGGGTTCGCTTGGGGCCAGTAATGGTCTTCGAGTGCCAGTCCCGCCCAGGGTGTAGGATCGGGGCGTGATAAAGTTGGTATCAGAGCCTAGAGTTCAATAGTCCTAGGGAGTCTATGAAGCCGTGTCTGTAGAGTCCTAGTTATTGGTGTGAAGCGCGCCACATCTATAATTATGAGGCTGCAACATTTAGGAGTTCCTTCACTTCTTTCACACTCTTTTCGTGCGCTAGAGTTGATCTCTAAAAAGTTCCTTCTAATTCGTGCTTGCGCGTGTTTCAGACAATTATGCCTCCACGAAGAGCTGTCAGAGGTCGTCCTGCTAGACGCAATGTTGAGGAACAAGAGTTACCAAATGCACCTGAAGTGCAACCTCAAGGAGAAGTCACCAATGCTAAGTTCAGAGAGGCAATTAGGATGTTGAGTCAAGTTGTGACTAACCAAGTTAGTCAACAGAGGGGAGCTCGACAGGAAGGAGTTGACACTTCAAGGATTCGTGAGTTCTTGAGGATGAATCCTCCAAGCTTCACTGGTTCAAGCACTTCTGAGGACCCAGAGAACTTCATTGAGGAACTGAAAAAGGTGTTCGATGTGATGCATGTTACTGATACTGTGAGAGTTGAACTAGCTGCATATCATATGAAAAATGTTGCTATGACTTGGGTTTGATCAGTGGAAAGGGGGTAGAGCTGAGGATGCACCACCTGCGAGTTGGGCATGTTTTGAAGAGGCTTTCTTGGGGCGTTTCTTTCCCCGAGAATTGAAAGAGGCTAAGGTACGGGAATTTCTTACACTTAAGCAAGATTTTTTGAGTGTTCATGAGTATGGGTTGAAGTTCACCCAACTATCCCGATATGCTCCGGAGATGGTTAAGGACATGAGGAGTAGGATGAGCTTGTTTGTTGCTGGGTTGGGCCGTCTATCAAGCAAAGAGGGCCGAGCAACAATGCTTATTGGGGATATGGACATTTTGAGGTTGATGGTCTATGTGCAACAAGTAGAGGAAGAGAAGCTGAAGGATAGAGAGAAATTCAAGAACAAGAGGGCTAAGACAGGGAATGAGTCCGGGCAGCAGAAGAGTAATGCCAACCGGTCATCCTTCCAACAGAAACAGAAGGGACCTGCTCCATCGTCTGCTAGTGCAACTGCACCTAAGAACAAAGGTGAGTACAATAATCAAAACTTCAGAGCTAAACCTGCTTATTCCTAGGGTAGTGTAGCGCAAGGGAGTAGTAAGCCTCCTGCCTGCGCCAAGTGTGGTAGGAACCACTCAGGTATTTGTCGTGAGGGCTCAACTGGTTGTTTCAAGTGTGGTCAAATTGGGCGTTTCATGCGAGAGTGTCCAAAGAACAAGCAGGGGAATGGTAATGGGGCAATATAGCCCAGTCTTCTTCAGTTGCTCCACCAGACAAAGCTGCACCTAGAGGGGCTACTTCCGGTACTGGTGGAGGAACAAACCGCTTATGTGCTATCACTAGTCGCAAGAGCAAGAGGATTCGCCAGATGTTGTCACTGGTATGATTCGAGTCTTTGACTTAACTGTTTATGCCTTGCTAGATCAAGGAGCGAGTTTATCTTTTGCAACTCCATATGTTGCTATGAACTTTGATGTTATTCCTGAGCAACTTAGTGAACCGTTCAGTGTCTCTACGCCTATTGGTGAGTCTATTCTAGCAGAAAGAGTCTATCATGATTGTCTTGTTTCCATCAATCACAAGAGTACCATGGCTAATTTAATTGAGTTAGGCATGATAGATTTTGATGTCATTCTTGGTATGGACTGGCTTCATGCCTTTTATGCCTCAGTTGTTTGTAGAACTCGAGTAGTCAAGTTTCAGTTTCCAAATGAGCAAGTCTTAGAGTGGAAAGCAGATCAGCAGTGCCTAAGGGTCGTTTCATTTCGTACCTTAAGGAAAGGAAGTTAGTTTCTAAGGGGTGTGTCTATCACTTAGTCCGAGTTAATGACTCAAGTGTTGAGGTACCTCATATTCAGTTAGTTCCAGTAGTAAAAGAGTTCCCAGAAGTCTTTCCTGATGATCTTCCCGGAGTCCATCCTGAGAGAGAGATAGACTTTGGTATAGATCTTCTTCCAAATGCTCGTCCTATCTCTATTCCGCCATACAGAATGGCACCGGCAGAGTTGAAGG